ATTACCCGAAATGGACAATAAAGAAGTTGGAATATCAAATGGAATTGAAAAGACCAAGAAAGATATTCAAATATAAGAAAGACGAAAAAGTGAAAAGAAATCCAAAGGAGAAGTTACAATCCCATACGTGAAAGAAATTTCAGAGAAAATCCTGACTGCAAGGATGAAGGAAAACATTGTAGTGTCATTCAAACCACACGCAAAACTCAGAAACTTTCTTGCACACCCAAATTATAAGATAGAAGACAACAAGAATTGTTGAATAGTATATGAAATTGGGTGTGAGAGCTGTGACAGAGCATATTTTGGAGAGACAGGAAGAAAACTAGAAACAAGGCTAGAGGACCACAAGAAACATGTAAAGGAAATTGGAAGTGAGGGGGTCAAGGTCAGATTCAAACACTCCATGTCGACAGGAATTTTACACAAATCTGCCATCACTGATCATATATCAGATAACAACCATGTGCCAAAATGGGACAATGTAAAAGTGCTTACCATCGAAAATTATTACAGTAAACTCAAAGTTTTTGAATCCATCTGGACAAAAAGAAAGAAACACACCAAGAACAGAGATGAAGGAGCACACAAGCTATCCCATGTGTATGACGACATTTTCAAACCCATCCTGGGGGGAGGGGGCGAAAGGGACAAACAAGTCATCATCAGGACTGGATAATTACCTGTTCACCTTCACCTGAACAGGTTATTTAGTTTTGACTAAGTCTGTCAGAGCGAACAGACGAAACAGTCAGCATGTAAACCAAATGTACGGATCTATCATAAATGAAAACTTTCTGACCATGAAAAAGACTGGATTGCTTTGAAAACATAACGTTCATTGTGAATTTTGCTGACAATTAAAAAAAGAAGAAAAATTAAACTTCAAACCTGGATATGGCTAGGAGATAGCTTACAACATGTAATTTCTTGATTTATTATACATTTTTCGTCATCTAAAATATCCTTTTTTCTGGTAATGCTGCGTAAGTAAACAAGAAATCAAGAACGGAAGCACTTTGATGAGATAAGTGTGTACATTTGTTCGGAAAACAATAAAAAATATACGATTCACTTTGTTTAAATAGAATTAAACTAGGTGCTCTGTTAGCATAACTCTGAAAACATTGTAAATCAGAAATATTTTAAATAAAATTTATTATTGCATGCTATTACGATGACTTTTTCAACTACTTCTAGGATAATAAACGATATATAACCTCATACCTAAATAGGGTAGGAGGAGAGACTAAAACATGGACAACTAAATATTATATACTTTAACATTTTAAACCTAGATAACGGTATGAGGAGGGACTATATCATGTGTTATTTGAATTTATAATACAATTATTTTATCAACGACATATTTTTCTTTCAGAGGAAGAGGAAGAGATAAGTAAGTATTAAAGAAATCAGGATTTCATGTAATAAATCTGTGTCACCCTTTTAAAACGAAAATTGAAATGGAATTCTTTGACTATATATAATTGTGTTCACTTCCGGAAACATTGTAAATTGGAAAATTTTTATCTGAACATTAAAATATTAACTGTTCTTCTTAGGACTTGTATACCGGCGATCGCATCTGAGACAGTTTAAAATATTTTACTTCAAACTCAGTATGAAAGGAAGCTGAGATTATATGATGTGGAATTTAAATTTAAATCATATGAAAAGAGAACTTGACTTTTTTGATAATGTAATTATGTCCACTTTTAGTGAACTGTGAGATTTTGAAACCACTGTATCGAAACAATTATCACAATGTAAATAATGAAAGATAATTAACAGCAAACCTAGATATTGGTAGGAGTTCTTACAATATGTAAACTCTTGATATATTATTATTACTTTTATTTGAATATTTATTAAATAATCTCAGCAGGAATGGTAGCACTTTCCTCGATTTGAATGTCCTGTTTAATTAAATTTATTAAAGGTTTTACCAAAATTATAATATTGCATGTTTATATGTGAACTTTACATGAACAAGTACCTCTTACATAGTTAAAGATATCAGATGATGAAACTTCAGTTAGGGTAGGAGGAGAGACTACATCAAAACTCATTTAAATTCATATTACAATTACTTTTAACTATATATTTTTGTTTAGTATTGAAGAAAACAAGATTTATCAAAAGAAATATATGTTGACGATAAGAAAAAAATTCAAACATGGATATAACTAGGAGATAGCTTACAATATGTAATTTCTTGATTTATTAAACATTTTTCGTCATCTAAAATATCCTGTTTTTCTGGTGATGCTGCGTAAGTAAACAAGAAATCAAGAACGGAAGCACTTTGATGAGATAAGTGTGTACATTTGTTGGGAAAACAATAAAATATACGATTCACTAGGTGCTCTGTTAGCATAACTCGGCAAACATTGTAAATCAGTAATATTTTAAACAACATTTACTATTACAACTACTTTTCAACTACTTCGTGGATTATAAACGATATATAACCTCATACTTCGATTAGGGTAGGAGGATAGATTACAGCATGTGCCCTTTATTTTTGTAGTACATTTTTTTAATCTACAAATATTTTTCTTTCAGATCAAAATTTTGGTAAGTATTGGACAGATTAGAAATTAATAAAATATATTTTTGTCATCCTTTTTAAAATCAATTTAGAAATGGAATACTCTGATTAAATCTAAGGTATGTTCTGGGGAGAATAGTGGTTTGAAATTATTCATATAAAATATATATGGCAGTCTAAAGACAATCTCAGATATCAGAATAATAGCTATAACTGCTGTTTTGTGGTACAACATGATATACAACATTCGACAAAAAGGTTGTCCCACCCCTATTTCCATGTACTTTTTTTACAAATGATCACCTCACAGCTATAAATTGTAAGAAATAGTGCTTTTTAAGACAGATACCGTGTCTAACTTGACACATGGTTAAAAAAAAAAAAAACAAAATAGTGGTGAAAATAGACATATTTTATACCATTTAGTAAAATTTATAACAGGTACCCCCTCAATTCCACTGTTTCACTGTGACTTGTATAGATGTAAAGAAATGTCTATTAAATTGAAACAACGCCATCAAATGTCACCAAATTAATACACAATTAGCATTAAGGTGTACTCGTTACAGGTCACGTGCTTAACAGCATGTGCGTCTACTGCGTACTGCAATTTCCTCCTGTAGACGACGCGACAAGCCTTCAACACGGGTAACAATTCTGTTTTATGGGATATTGTCCCATTCTTCTGAAAGAAGTTGGGGGTGTTGGTCCACATTTTTATGGGGTTGGATCTCGTTCGCATTGCACACTCCAATTCATGTCACAGTTGATTAGTAAGTTTAACATCAGGGCTCAAAGATGGTGGTCCCGTCCTTAGAGCATTGTGTTTCTTCAACAAACACTTGCCAGGCGAGAGGTGTGAGCAAGTGTGCAGTCATAATAAAGCCTGGATTTAACCCCAAAGTCAGTTCTTGAAGATGGAATGAGATATCAGCTGAGAATGCTACGTTCAGTGATCCCACAGGCACCTGAACCTGGCCATCCATCACTGGAAGGAAGTCGGTTTTGATGCAGAATCAAATTATTTCTTGTATCCCATCAATGGTCAAATGAGGGTCCATAGACATTTTAAAAATGCCTCTTGGAATGGTGTGTGTAGGATAATATCACCTGAGGTGTTAGATCAGTCCGCATTTGGAGAACATTCTAAGCCCATGTTATTAGTACATTGTTCCTTTTGGAACAAAACGTAACAGGGGCATTTTAATGTAACATTCTCAACAGAAACCTCACTCTATTTGCAAGAGGTTACCTCAGGGATGCTACTGGCTTCATTGTGACAATGTACATGCTCACAGTTCTCGTCTGGAAGCGATTTGTTGCAGAAACACAGGGCTCTGAAAATGGGACAACCGTCTTTGAGCCCTGATATTGATCCTACTGAGCACCTGTGGCATTAATTGGAATGTGCATTGCAGAGGAGAAGCAATTCCCAAATAATCTTGACCAATTCCGCCACGCTCTTTAGGAAGAATGGGACAATATCCCACATAACAGATTTGTTACCTGCGTTGAAGGCTTGTCGCGCCATCTACAGGAAATAATTGCAATACATTGTACACGCACATTGTCTGGCTTTAAAACAACCAGTTTTGCTCGCCACTTATGAATTATTTGATTTAGAGATAAGAAATTGGTATTACAAAGCTATCCACTAAATTTATGTTGGGTACGTGCCATTTAGAGAGTAGATAAAAATACAGACTGCTTGGGGCAGACAGAGATGTAAATTTAATACAATGAATGCACAATTTTTGATTCTAGGCATTTAATCAAAATACATTTTAGACTGGTTGCCTTAAATACCAAATGTATTAGTTTTAAAAGTACTTTATATCTGCTTTCATTATTTTTCAAGCTATATATCAAGCAGCGTGTGAGGAGGGAACACAGAGAGTGTACAGAGCCAATGTGATAGTGGTTGGTCAGGGAGGTATTGGGAAAACACACCTTTGCCGAAATCTGCTGGGAGAAGAGTTCACTGAAGTCGACCTGGTGACAAATGGTATCGCTATGTCAGGATGTGTTCTGGAGAAACACAAAGCAGGGACCACCTTCAAAACACAAGGTGATAAACAGCAGTTAACGGTTTGAAATACACCTTATTAATGGGCAGATATAATAATTTTGATATCTTAATGTAATGGGATACACTGTAAGTACTTGTAATTGCATGCTGTTCTGCTTTCCGTTTTTTATTTGTTCACCTTTTCTAGTGCCCAATTTCTGTGCAACTTCTAGTTCTTGATAACAGCACAAAATTGAATGCATTTTTGACATTTAACCTTTAAGATTCCGCACGTCCGAACCGCAAGCCAAATGTCGAAAAATAACAAAAACCTGCACAAACTATAAGTACTTTAACGTTTTTTTTAATAATGCCACATTTTGATGACCGCATGGTTCATTTAAAATATTTTTCAGATGAGTTCTTCACCAAAAATTACTACACTGATACACAACCAGTGAAGAAAATAACCATAGTAAAAAAATCAAACGCCCGTTTTAGTATTGTCTACGACATCCTCTGAATTGGAGGCCGCACCTGACGCGTTTGTGCGCGGAGACAAATAAATTGTATAACTTTTGCACATTGATGGTGTTCCACTTTCAATATAAGGTCATTTTTAGAGAGTTATCTTTCAGTTGTCTATTTTCGAGCTCACCTTAGGAAATATTTATGAGGTTCTGATCTAGGGATTGAACTGGCCATATATATATATATATATATATATATATATATATATATATATATATATATATANTAAAGCAGGTTTTTAATGAATGAAAACGAATGATAAATTTACGTTTAAAGTAACAAATTCAGTTTTAAACCACTGAGTTTGTTTTAACAATGGTCTCTATCTAGGGAGGGGTGGAAAATCCCCTTCGGGCCACATATAACACTATAAATACAATATAATCACCTTGCAATGAATTAAGGCAAAATAAATGTTTTTCTAAGGAAAGTCCAATGGATTTGCTTTCTAATACATACAATCAACAGAACATTCCTAATATAAATTTCCGAAAAGACACCAGAGAGCAAATTAAAAAAAAATCAATCAGACGGTAAACACCGGCAAGCTTTGTCAATTTCACCAACTTCTTGTTTATTTCAAACAGCGTTGCGCGCAAAGGATTGTGGGTAATATGAGGGTCCAACTTGCCCCGAGACAAGGGGGCCAACTAGCCCCGGGTGCACATTATTTATTTTAAGGGCTGGCAGCCATTTATGGTGCTAGAATGAGCAACGATGATACATTTCTGTGAAACTTGAAGCAATGAGCTTCAGTTTGATGCCCTATACATATCTTATATTCGATCAAAAGCCTATGAAATTAGATTTTAAAATCTCTTAAACAAAATTACTTTTAGGTGCAAAAATAGTTTATTTGGACTCACCGCTTAATTAAAACTTTTTAAAGGCCGACACTTCCTTAGCAATGTAGGCTACGGTCACTTTACAAGTATGTGGCCAATTTTTTTACCTCATAGTTACTTTTTTTTCAGAAAATGACAGGGGGCCAACTTACCCCGGGGTCCAACTAGCCCCGGTCTCCCCTACGTAGCTTAGTTCATGGGGCTTACTTTGAAACCGGTTTCGTTACTCTAACTCATTCTTAGTTGGCTCTACAAGGCCAAAAGTGTCTAATTGGCCAACTAGCCCCGGTCTTCCCTACTGTGTTGCCAACTATACTAAAGTACACTTGTCTTAAATTTATAGTAACGGTAGTATTAAAGCATGGGGGAGGCTACTTTTGCCATATCACATCACATGCCCTGCAATATGTTAACAACACCGTAAGAGAAGAAACTGTTAACTTACCAGCGTTGATGTCCAAGCCAAGTCTTGTCTCTTCCACTCTTATTCTAGAAATAGTGGTCCAGCCGGTCGAAGGGCTATACTGGCCACCCGACCAGCTACAACGTCCCGTGTGAAGACTTATTGTAATGTCTCCGGCCGGAAAACCGTTACAGATTCCAGAAACTGAAAGCAATAATATCGATAATGTGAACAGAAAGTCACCTGTAGCTGACGACAAATGATCGGATTGTGGCACCATTATATATATAACAATACAGAGGTTTACTTAAGGTGTAAAATCTGAAAAGAATATCAAAATTTTCGATGCCAGAGATAACGCATTTAATTTATGATAACTGTGAGTTAGGAACAGTTCCATAAATTTGTTTCGAGTTTCAACTTAAATTATTGTGCTTACACTCAAATGTCCTGCGGGTGCGTGGATTGTTATCGCCGGTTTTATAGATGAATGCGTCGATTACCCCCGGATTCGAGCACTCATTTCCATTAAACTTAAAATACCATCTTGCGCAGTAACCATTTCCATACTCGTGAAGCGTGCCAGTAAAGAACACTGCTACACTAGTGTCCGACGCCCGCTTTGTGTAGGTTTCCGTCTATAATTTAAACACAGTATATAAATATATATATATATATATATATATATATAAACAATATTGGTCAAAAAAGTTGTCCCACCCCCAGTTTCATGTGCTTTTATTTATAAATGATCACAGGAGTTAATTGCTATGAATGGTGATCTTCATTCCAGATACCATATCTAACATGATTATTAGTACAGAAAATACAAACTAGCAGTTAAGATATCCATATTTAATACCATTTATTACATGTACCCCCTCAAATCTAATGTTCCACTGTCATCTCAGAGGTAAATAAAAACCAATTAAATTTAAATGACACCACCAAAAGTCACCAAATTTACACATATTTAGCATTAGGATGTGCTCGTTGAAGGTCACGTGTCTATTAGCGTGTGTGGCTACCGCGCACTGTATAATCTCCTGTAGACGGCGCCAATGCCTTCATCAAGGGTAACAATTCTGTTTTGTGGGATTTTCCCCCATGTTTCCTAAAAAAAAAACTTGGCGGAATTGGTTCGGACTAGTTGGGGTTTGGTTCTCCTCTGGATTGCACACTTCAATTCATACCACGGGTGCTCAGTAGGTTTATTATTATCAAGATTCAAAGACGGTTTATCCAGCCTCAGAACATTGGGTTTCTGCAACAAATCACTCACCACATGAGAACTGTGTGCAAGCGAAGTCACCTCTTGCAGATGAAATGAGGTATCAGTTGAGAATGTTAGGTTCAATGACCCCAGAACTACCAGAACTTGGTCAACCATCATTGTTATGTCTTGTGCTTGTTTGCACTCTGCGTGGGTTATAGATTAGTGACTATCATTACTATCTTTCACTCATCAAGACCATGTGGCTGCCATTATATACTTTATTTCCCCGAAGAGCCCTTGCCGCTAGTGTCGCCACTAGTCAAGACATTACACCCTCTTTTCTTTCCAAACAAACAAAAAAAAAATACAATAATAATAATACTTTAACTTACACAACGTGATTAAACAATGACATATTATTTAATACACTTTAACTTTACTCATATCTCACAACTTTAACTTGTAAAGCAGCTTTTTCTTATTTATTTAAATCTCTTACTTTAACTTGTAAAGTAGTTTTTTTTCTCACTTATCTCAGTCTTTACTGTAAGTCTTATACAGTTTCACCTATTTTCTCTAACCCTATACAGCAACTATTTTTTTTTTTTTACATTTCACCTTAAGTCTGATATTACATCTTGATGTTCATTCTTTATGAAATTCAATAAAACACTTTAAACACAATTATTGTTACTACTACATGTACAATCAACTTGTTTGACACATGTTAAGAAACTTACAGTAGTTTTGTATTTAACTTAACTAAACATTAACAAACTCTTAACTAATACTGCCTTATAACACTAGATACCTTTTAAACTTTATTTACATTATTTAAACCCTAAACTTTAACTTGTAAAGTTTTAATATTCTTCTGTAATCAAAATTAACATCAAACCTATTACTAGTAGTTACTATATATTACGAATACTAGAATAAATTTGATCATAATGCTTTAAAAAATCATACAAGTAAGTAAAGCTTAACTTGCTCATACAGTAAAACACAATAGTACTATTCTATAGCACTACTTAAACCATATATTCACTTAACAAAATCTGCTAACTTGTTAGGTGCTTTCGAAATTCTCCCTGACCGTGTGATAACTGATGGTTTCTGTGCAGGGACTAATTGCACAGGTTGATTTACAGGTTTTGGGACAGGGGTCAGAGGTTTAATGGTAAATTTTTCTCCATTCTGTGCTATTCTCTGACTGCTCTGTACTCCTTTTGTTCGTCTTTCTGTTGTGCCTGTAATGTCATCATGATCATAACGAATAGGATGTCTGTAAATGTCAATTTCTTTAGTTTTCAACAGGTCTTTTCTGTTTCTTCTTGTAATTCTGCCACTAGGCATTTGTATGTTATATGACCTTGAGTTTTTCTGATGTTGGGGTAATAATAAAGCTGGTTGCCACTTCCCATTCTTTCTAACTCTTACAGTGGAATCTCTCTGTATGGGATTTTAACTCTTTTGCATTCCTATCATAATACTTTCTATTTCTAACATGCCTATCTTCATGTAATTGCTTTTGTACCTTTTCTTGTTGTTTTACCTGTGGTTTTAACTTTTCAACTGATGTTGGTATAATTGTCCTTGTTCTTCTGCTAAACAACCTCTGAACAGGTGAGCCTGTGTTCTCATCTCTGGGGGTATTTCTGATGTTAAGTAAGGCTAAATATGGATCACTCTTAGTCTCATTGCATTTAATTAACATCTTCTTCGCAATCCCTACATATTTTTCTACCATCCCATTTGCCTGCGGATGTTCTGGTGATGAAGTCTTGTGTACAAAATTGTAAGATTCTGCAAAATGTTTCCATTCACTGCTGTTAAATGGAGGACCGTTATCACTTGTTACCTGCTCTGGAATCCCATGTACACTAAACCATTTCTTTGTCTGTTTTACTACAACTTCTGCGTGTGTACCATTTTTCCATCTTTTCTATTTCAAAGTAATCTGAATAATAGTCAACCATAATATACCAATCACTTCCTAAACACTTAAAGAAGTCTAGTGCAACATGTTCCATTGCTCTACTTGGAATAGGAGTGGGAATTAATGGCTCTTTCTGTTGTTTGCGTCTATTTTCTTGACATGCACAACACTTTGATACTGTGTCTTCTATTTGCTTGTTAATTCCAGGCCAATATAGTAAATCTCTTGCTAACTGCTTAGATTTCACCATTCCTTGATGTGCCTGATGTATCATCTTAAGTGCGTCCTTTCTCATCGATGTAGGTACAACTACTCTCAGGCCCTTGTATAATATTCCATCAATCACATTGAGTTCTTCCTGTGAGTCAAAATAAGGTTGTACTACACTGGGAACTTGAGCTTTTTTCTCTGGCCATCCTTCTGGACTTGTGACTAATTTTATCACTTCTTGTAATGTTTCATCTTTCAAAGTTTCCTCTTTTATCTGTCTCACTCTGGGTGGACTTAACTGAGCTACACTGGGCATTTCCTCTTGGAAAACTTCAAATATGTGTACTGTAGCTTCATTATTTCTGATGAATGCTCTGCTCAATGCGTCTGCTACTGGAATCTCACTGCTCTTCTTGTATACAAGCTTAAAATCATACCCTTGAATCCTCATTCTCATTTTCTGTAGTCTCAATGGAACTTGATGTAAGGGTTTCTCTAAGATTCTTATCAGCGGCTGATGATCTGTCTCTACTGTAATGTCACTCCGACCATAGATATACGTATGGAATTTCTTTAATGCAAACACAATCGCCAAAAGTTCTTTTTCGATCTGGGCATACGCGCATTCAGGTTCTGTCAACGCTCTCGATGCATAGTGTACTGGCTGACCTCCTTGGAAAATCACGCCTCCTAGTCTTGACTGTGATGCATCACACGATATTACGACAGGTTCATCCCTACTGTAATATCTCAGTATCGGCGCTCTTGTTATTTCTTCTTTCACCTTCTCAAATGCTTCTCTGTGTATACTATCAAAATGGAACTTGAATCCCTTTTGATTTGCTTGTTTTATGATGGCTCTCAGTGGTTCTGTTAAGCTTGATAAATTTTTAACATGCTTGCATACATAATTCACCATCCCGAGGAATGTACGCACATTTTCAACCGACGCTGGCTCTGGCATGCCTAAGATAGCTCTAATCCTGTCTGGATCTATCTCTTGTCCATCCTTGGTAAATTTCTGCCCGCTGTACTTGACTTCTTCTTTACACAACTGTACTTTCTTAATGTTGAATGTAATGTGATTTTCTTTTGCCCTCTGCAGCACTTGTTTCAATGTTTTATTGTGTTCTTCTAATGTACTGCCTATGATCAGGAAATCGTCCATTATCATTTCAAGACCTTCTAATGTCTCCAAAAATATCTCCAAATGCTCTCATAAACAACTCTGGTGCTGACGTAATTCCCATAGGTAGTCTCTTGTATCTATATCTGCCAAATGGTGTAACAAATGCCGTGTAGTTCTTGGATTTATCATCTAATTCTAGTTGAAAATATCCCTGATTGGCATCTAAAACTGTCATGTACTTAACTCCTTTCATTCTCTGTGCCACTGACTCAACTGTATTGGTAGGGTAATATTCACGTTGCAATGCTTTGTTGAGGTCTCGTGGATCAATCGTTATTCTCACGTCATCTGAATCTTTCTTGGGTATCACATGTAAAGCACTGCACCAGGGAGTAGGAGTTCCTGCTGGTACCTTTTCTAAAATGTCTAAGTCTTCCAGCTCACTCAGTTTGGCTATGACCTTGTCTCTTAGGGCTGCTGGAACAGGTCTTGGGGGTTGGGCAATAGAGGTACTATCAGGGTTAACCTTCAGTGTCACCAAGCCAGGTACCTTACCTATGCCTGAAAATACACTTTCTGAGTACTCTTTAATAATCTCTTTTACACTTTCATGTTGACACTTTTCAACATTATCTGGCACTTTACTAGCTATCTTGACCCTTTTTACTAGATTCATTTTGTCACAATCTGCTAAACACAGCCAATTAGGTACTCCTTTCAGCACTTGACACTCTATTGTGTAATCTTTGCCATCAGTAACACAATCTAACAAAACCTTTCCTACTGGTTTTAATGGGTTTCTGCCTAAACCATAGATCAACATATCACTTTTCAACAGTGCTACATTTCTTAAAGTGTTAAATGTTTCTTCTGACATTACTGATGTTTCAGCTCCCGTGTCTAATTTGAAATCAGTTAAACCATGACCCTTCACATAAATTTCTTTTGACCAACTTTTCTGCGCACTCACACCATTTACTCTGTTTGTCCAAACATGGACATTTTCCATATCATCTACAATACTATCAGACTCATAATATACATTTGACTTGTTACTGTTATAGTTTCTTTCTTTAGTCAAGCAACATTTTGCAAAGTGGTTCTGCTTTCCGCATTTTAAACAAGTTTTACCCATAGCTGGACAAATAGCGTCACGGAAATGTATTCCTGCGCAGCGTGTGCATCGTGTCCTTGGACATGGGTTAAATCTTCCTCGTTGGGGTTGTCCTCTGGGTCGCTGTGGTTGCTGTGATGGACCTCTACATTGCCTGGTTTCTCTGCGGAATTGTGGTTTCCTACCACTGGCACCCTTGACTACATGGACTGTTGTACTGGTCTCTCTTTGTTCTAATGTAGTTTTGGATTCTATCTTTTGTTCGTGGAGATGTCCTTTTGTCATTATTTGCTCTAATGTTAAATCTTCATTCCACAATTTATCTCTTAATTCTTTAGATTTCACTCCCACAGATATCTGCTTGCACAACTGGTTTTCTAGTGTTTCTCCATATTCACAGTACTTAGCAATTTCTCTCAGTCTTGATACGTAATCTGACAGACTCTCTCCTTCATTCTGATAGCATGTATCAAATTTTTTCATATATAACTTTACCAATTTTTGCGGTTCAAAATGCTTGTCAAACTTTTCTAATACGATTTGAAAGTCGTCTTTATCTTCTTCATTGTCGAAGGTAAATGTCTCAAACACCTTTTTGTGTTTGTTATCTAGGCCGTATATTAAAATTGCTACCTTTCGTTTGTCCTCTGCGTCTTCCAACCCAGCAGCAAGGAGATAAATTTTCAGTTCCTCTTTATATTCTTTCCACGCGACATTTTGCGCGGCGGCATCACGTGCCCTGAACTTTGGAGGTGAAAATCCAGTCGCCATCATGTCTCTATTACTGCAGCTTTTTACTTTTGTCTTGAGACCGCTTCTGACACCATGTTATGTCTTGTGCTTGTTTGCACTCTGCGTGGGTTATAGATTAGTGACTATCATTACTATCTTTCACTCATCAAGACCATGTGGCTGCCATTATATACTTTATTTCCCCGAAGAGCCCTTGCCGCTAGTGTCGCCACTAGTCAAGACATTACAATCATTTGGAACAAGTTGGTTTTGCTAAAGAATCGAGGTATTTCTTGTATGCCTTCGATGGTCAAATTAGGGCCCGTGGACATGTTGCAGAATGCTTTTTGAAAGGTTTGTGCAGGATAATATCGCCTGAGGTATCAGATCAGACCAAGTTTGGAGAGAATTCCAAGCCCATGGTTTTAGTGCATTGTTCTTTCCGGGAAGAACGTTATTGGGGCAATTCACTGAAACGTTCTCAACAAATATCTCACTCCATTTGCAAGAGTTGACTTCAGGGATACTGCAGGCGTCATCGTGGAAATGTACGTGCTCACAACTCTCGTCTGCTGAGTGATTTGTTGCAGAAACCCTATGTTCAGAGGGTAGAACAACCGCTTTGAGTCATGTTATTAACCTTACTAAACATCTGTGGCATGAATTGAAGTGTGCAACGCAAAGGAGAACCAAACTCCTAATAATCTGGACCAACTGCCCTAAGCTCTTTAGGAAGAATGGGACAATATCCCATAAAAAATCACTGTTTCAGACAATTTACACCTGTGAGGTTATCATTTGTAAATAAAAGTACATGGAATTAGGGGTGGGACAACCTTTTTGACCAATGTTGTATATATAAACATGACATTCAACCACGATCTTTGTATGAAAATCCTGCATATTGGATCATTTTGGACCAACTCATTTCAGTACCATTGAGCATTCAGTAGGCCTATACTGACATCACCAACGACTTTTATGACAGCAACATGATTCATGCGTATATTTGGCATATGTATTATTATAATAATAATATTATATTATTATTATATTTTATTATAAATTGGCTTATATTTTTGCATCCTTCGAGCTCTAGAATCACAACGCTGAGTCTTTACACACCATGTATGCATTTTCATCTCGTGTTGAAATCTCCTGGTGGAGGGTAAACTCTTTAACGTTGAACAAAGTATATGAATCACATGACCCTGATGAAAAAAATATTTATGCTAATTAGACATCTTTCACAAGAAAAATCATCGTGCGTGCGAACGAGTGTGTGTTGAAAACAATGAAAGCTAGAAGAAAATAACTTTTTCTTACACTACCATGAAAAATAGATTAAAAAAGGTCGTGCTAAATCAAGAATCAAACTTGAAAACCTGATATGATAATCATGAAAACGTGCATATCCAGGTTTATTTACCAGTGCCAGTTGGTCCTATCTCCTCAAATGCGAAATACCCGTATGAGTTCATTCCCATGTAAGCAGTCGCCCCGCCACCCCTGTTCCTGGTGTGTATCTGTATGGTGAGATTACCTGCAGCAATACCCCAGCAAATACCAGAGACTACGAGAAAATATAGAAAAGAATGGCGGTAAAACAGAACACCAACCACGGTAAAAATTGAAATGGGACGAAATATATCCAATAAGAATGTATTGCGCCGGGTTTATAAGTACACTGTGCCAAATTGATGACTGTACGATCGTCAAAAACTTTTATCCCATGGGCTTTATCAAATTTTAAGAACTGAGGTTTTTATGAACTTTTAATGTGTATCGAATCATTGTAACACTTACAAGTATATTTTAAGATTGTACATCTCACGACTATTTGTTTTTATTGTAAAATCCAAAATTTTAAGTTGCAAATAAATACATATTATTATTATATGTATTTCTAAAGTAGCGTTTCCACTTAGTTAATAAAATTCAACGCTGGTGTACGTTCACATTTAAAGGACAGTTGTATTTTGACTTCTTAACATACAACAAAATCTCCTAGAAACAAACTCTGATGATGCATTAAAACAATTTCAAACATGACTAGATATAATTACATGATCCGTGCTCGTTATTTCGTCGGCGCGAGGCATGGTACTCCACAAATTCGATGGTGCCTGGGTTGGAACATTCTGCCCCGTTAATCGTGAAGTAGAAACCAGAGGTACAACCGTTACAATAATAGGCGGCGCGGATTGTTCCACTGTAGGAAATTCGAAGCCCGGTGCTGGACTGTTGCTTTACGTAAATGTAGCTCTGGAAAGCAAAGCTATCTTAAAGGGATAATAACTGTTCGTTTTGGCCAAAATTTTTTTCCTGGAGTAAACAACAATTTTCCCATACTTACCAATGGTTAATGAATCCATTTTTACATTCAAAGTTAGTTCCTGTTTTTTTTCTAAAAAGGTCGGTTTTATGTTATAATTTCTTAAGATATTATTTCAGAGTATAGCTATCTATGGAGGTCACGTGGTCTGATGACAAGCTCAGATATCAGAGTAATAGTATAACAGTCGTTATTGTGGTAAAACAGAATATATTGTATTTCTATGAGTTGCTTACAATGTTTTTATTGTGAAATATAGATTTCATACGAAGAGTTATTATCCCTTTAATATGAAACATTTGCAACTCAATTATTTCTGGACGAAGAACAATGGTAACATAATCTCTCATAGAAACAACATTCCTTGACTTTATATTGCGTATAAGGACTAGTGTCTATCTATCAGAAAGAAATGTTGAAGAATGGAAAAAAACACGCACTGATAATCTAAGATTTAAATTGGGCAATTACTGATCGCCTTTTTCATTTTCGGCAACTTCTCAATGGTAGCTTTGTTTTTATTTTTTATGTATAAGCATGATAGCAAACTTTAAATTTCAAACTGGTTGCTGGTCTGAGGTTTCCGGACGGCCAGTGTAGTACATCATTGTATGGAGAGTACCAGAAGTTATGTATTTTGGATTTCAGGGTGACTTCATTTACGAGTATGTCTGAATGCCTGCAATAGAAAAGTCATCTTCTGACTGAGTGTCTGCGGGAGTGTGAAATCTTTTCCGATCTAAATGTAATTTTTGTTTCTTTCTTTTCCCTTTATTTATGCATTAATTTTATTTTTGCTTTAGCCATTATATGTCAAACAAAGCGAGTGAACTTTTTTACTCCTCTGGTTCCTGCTCTCTTAGTTTACACACACATACACACACACAAACACACACACACACACACACACGCACACACAAACTTACCGGGCCGTCGCCGTTTACGCCTCCAAAGCTGCTCGGATAACCTTCGTAATGAATATTGGTCACCGGTGCTTCGTCACAATCTTTCGTATATCCTAATCAATTCACAAATTATACCGATTAGCCCTTTGCTCTTGTTGCTATTTTGATGTTTAAAGCACAATATGTTGTATACTCTATACCTTAATGCAGCATCGATTGGCGGCTCCATTTGAGCAAAAAAAAAAAAAAAAATCGATCCTCGCTTTGGGTTCACGTAGTAAGTTTTAAAAACATTGTGCAGGACTTCAGATTGCATCCATTGGCAGAAGATGCAAGTCGCAAGCCCAGTCGGTGTACACAAAAACTCATCCAACCAACTTAATTTCTTTTAATCATTTATTGATTCAATAGGAGTTGCTCTAGAAACGTCATGCAAAACACACTATTTAATGGAAATCCGATGCCTCACTACGGTTACCAACATGGAATAAATGCAACAACTCCCCTCCCCTCCCAATATGGTGAAAAGTATTCTCACCCAAACAAACGGCCTCTCCGCTGGTGCAATCCTCACGGCAGCGAGAATTGTCCGTGCACGGCCATGCTTTACACACAGCAATTCTACTTGACTGGTCGGAGCGGAGCGGATTTGACTGTAACAGGAAATATAGTAACAACTGAGTGAAATAGAATTGTGTGAAAATTTTGTGCAATTTTTAAAGTTTGAATTGTTATAATTCACAATTACGAGTTAATTTGTCAGGCGTGTGGGCTGTACAGGCATCTTTTCCGCCTAAATTATGTCCAGTTGGTGACACAATTGATTCTAGGAAAGACTATCCGTCATATTTGCGACAAACATATCTTTTCATATGATCTATGACCTAAAATCCGTTTAGAAATGAGCATGCTATTCCATTTTTGGTAGCGTGAAATATTTAAAAAAAACCCAAATGATCCAAAGTAATTTCTTTTGGATCCGTTAACTTCACATTCCAGGCCAATATGGTACGTGTATCATCAATGTGATGAGTGTGAGCAATCAATTGGGCGCACCCTCTCTTGTGACCTTAAAACAATGCAAATGGAAGTGACTTTCACGATTTTGCAATCGACAAAACGGCAGAATTTAGTTAAATCAATTGTTGCACATGAATTAACCGTTATCTAAACAGTCAGACAGAGTTATTACCTTTAGAGGTGAAGATATAATTACGTTCAGGATTGTACAGACAGATTTCAGTGAAGATTTCAATTCACTGAACATTTCAGTGTTTTCATATCAGTTCGGTTTTTATTTCAGTGCATTTATCCAAATCTGCACTGTGATTGAAGATAATTGTCATTTCAATTATGAATGTCATCATTATTCTAATTTAAATAAAACGAACAAAGACATATTCTTTCATGAGACTGTCAATATAAGGCCGTCATCAATAAAGACCCATCCCCCAAACAAAAACACACTGGGTCTGCACCATATATATATATATATGTACCCTAATGTATGTTAATGATTGACTTAAGTCAATTTTGGTGTGCCATCCAATAGTTTTTTGTTGTGAAAACAGTGCTACTCGTTTTCAAATTTAAGCTTTGTGGAAACAAATACGTTATTGAGCATGATTTTTTCACAATATATTTGAGCTAAATATTACTGCAACAATGAAGGTGTTAAATTAATGAGATTCTCTATTCTTTTGTCTATCTTTGCAACTTTGTATTCTGCCTACAATGACAAACATTGGCAACAAACCAGTGTCTTTGCTGTGTTAATTTCTGGATCTCACGCACTGATCTAGAACAACCTACCAGAGCATTTCAGATATGTCTCATCAAAATGGCTTTGAGGGACAAAGACAGGCTCGTGCGCATGTGTGTGCTTTATATAGCGCTAAATACAATTATGATACAATTGAGAATAACAAACATTGAGATTTCGCTTCAAGCAATGCATACAAACTACAATCAAAACATCTCACAATATTTTATGGATAATTTTAAGCTCGTATCTCTTATAAAAATCCCAATGACTTCTTTATGTACATTAAAAGACAATTGGAGCCTGTACCAGAGGAATATATCTGCTCCAAAAACGCCGTAAAATTTACGATATGTTATTGTATTATTGCACACTTTTTTCACAAGATCTTTAAACATAAACTACACTCGCAATTTTGGAAATGGTTTGTAACCACATCGGGGACACCTTAGCCTACAGACCTTATGGCACAAAGAGGTGAAAAAGTAACAATCAATTAGTGGTTTTACACTTTTTATTGATCTCGTTCATTTGATTAGAAGGATTTGTCACTTAGGGATTCCACTGATGTTTTTAAGCAATTTTTTTTTGTAGATGTGCCTTCCAATTGTTTTCGGCGTTAAAACAATCCTTTTCATTTTCGTATTAAAGCTTCGTAGAAGTTAATACAATGTTTTGATTTTTTACAGTGCATTTTAGCGTAATCATACAACAACAGTGATGCCATTAATTTAATAAAATTTCTGTTCTTTGTTTTAACAATTGTCTATTTTATGGACAAGAAGATTGAATCAATGGAATAAACCTTCTTCCAAAACGCCGTCATATTTACTATTTATTTAGAGATCTTTAAACATAAACTACGCTCGCAATTTTGAAAATGGTCTGAAACGACATCGGGGACATCTTATAAACAATATGGCACGAAGAGGATAAAAAGTAACTATCAATTAGTTGTTTTACACATTTAAATGGTCCTGCTCATTAGTTTAGAGGAATTTGTCATTAAGGCATCCTAATGATATATTTTTGTAAGTGTGCCTTCCAGTTATTTTGAGTTAATACAGTGCTTTTCTTTTTCACATTAAAGCTTTGTAGGGGTCAACACAATGTTTTGATTTTTTTTACCTTGTTTTCGAGAGTACTGTAAGCATACTACATCAAGAAGCCATTAATTCAAAGAAATTTCTGTTTTGTTTATGGTTAAAGCTTTGTTAAAGCTTTGAAGTGTTCATGTCTCAGTCGTACGCACAGCAATAGAATTACCTAGCAATGCATTTTAGATTTGTCTAAAAAAAGGCTTGGATGGACAAAAAGGTGTGTGTGTGCGCGCGCTTTATAGCATGAAATTAAATGTTGCCCTTTTGATCAATATGAAACATTTGTGAATCAAACACATTGAAATCTCTTTTCAAGCAATGGATACAAACTACGTGCAACAACCAAAACATCCCAAAATATTATGGATAATTTTAATCTTGCACCTATTATTAAAATTCCATTGTCTATTTTATGGGCGTCAAACAGATTGCGATCCTGTACTAGAGGAATAAATCTGCTCTCAAAACACCGTAATGTTTACGACAAAATATTGTATTATTGCAGACTTTTTCGCAAGATCTTTAAACATAAACTGCACTCGCAATTTTTTGAAATGGTTTCAAACGCTATCGAGGGACACCTTATGGGCTACAAAGCACAAAGTGGATAAAAAGTAGCAACCAATTAGTGGTTAAACACGTTTTATTTGATCTTGTACATTAGCTTAGAAGGATTTGTCACTAATGTATTCTAATGATATATTTAAGTCATTGTGTGTGTGTGTCTTCCATCTGCTGAACAGTGCTTTTCCTTTTCACATTAAACCTTGAAATGAAATGTTTCCCTTTTGATCAATATGATACATTTGTGATTCAAACACACTGAAATCTCTTTTCAAGCAATGCATACAAACTATGTGCAACAATCAAAACATTGCAAAATATTATGGATAATTTTAATCTTGCATCTATTATTAAAATCCCTTTGTCTATTTTATGAACGTCAAAAAAGAATGCGACCCTGTACCAGAGGAATAAATCTGCTCTCAAAACACCGTAATGTTTATGACAAATTATTGCATTATTGTAGACTTTTTTCGCAAGATCTTTAAACATCAACTACACTCACAATTTTTTTAAATGGTTTGAAACGATATCAGGGGACACCTTATGGGCTATAAAGCACAAAGTGGATAAAAAGTAACAATCAGTTAGTGGTTTATCACGTTTTATTTGATCTCGTTCATTAGCTTAGAAGGATTTGTCACTAATGTATTCTAATGATATATTTAAGTCATTTATAGTGTGTCCCTATAGTTTTGGGCCTTAATACAATCCTTCTCATTTTCATTCTCAAGCTTTGTAAAAGTCAATACAATGTTTTGACTTTTTACAATGTATTTGAGCGTAATCATGCTATATCAAGAAACCATTAATTTAAAGGATTTGAGACACATAAAAATCCATTTCTCGGATTCTGAGGATTCAGCACTCAATCTTTACACTAGAGGTATGTTTTAATCGATCCCCGCCATTTAAAAATTATAAAAACAATCTATTAGTAGAAAAAAAAAGCGTTTTAGTAAACCTCATCTCAATATGCATAAATGAAGCAACAGATATGGGTCACGTGGTACTGTGACGACAATGAGGATTAAGGCCTATGAGACTCAACTGAGCTGCATGGTGCATACAGGCAGAGAAGTTTGTGTTGAACGGAGTTCAGTGTGTTGCCAGTGTGTTGCCGTGGGATTCACCAAAATTGCAGCACTCGTTGACAATCTTTTCTTTGTCTGTGACGGTCTTCCGTGACTTACTTACTAACTTTGATGACAATAGTTGCGATGCTCGAAATCATGGTCACATCAGGTGGTTTAGATCATATCAAAAGCTGATAGTCTTTCAGATTAACTGTCATCAGTTGGCAAGCTTACTAATTGCTGATGCATTTAAAGCCTCGGTCACAACCGGACGCACGAATTTCAGGATCGTACGTCCCCTGCGATTTTTGGGGGTTGCGGAGGCCGTGAAGGTCGTAGAGGAAGAGGAAAGTCTGCCTTGCGAGTCGCAAGGGCCACATGAGATGTCCTTTCAGGCTGGGACGTTAGCTGCAAGGAGCGGTGGTCGTGGAAATGATGCTCATTTCTTGAGTTTGTCTTGCTTACTGTGTACGTGGCACACACTTACCACTTACGAAGGGAATGCAACGCACGGCGAAAGTAGTGCCCTTTTGGGTCAATTTTGCCTGACACTTGCCTCACACGTTTGTGGTGACGTATTGACGGCGTACGTCAGTTTTGCTTCCTGTTCTCCTCTTCTTTCTTCTTCCTCGCTTTTTTCTACTATGTAAGCTTCTTTCTCTTGCCTTTTGGAGGCATATTAGAAGCTAAACTGAGCAAAAATTTGAAAATTTTGAAAATTGTTGTTCACGTTACAAAGTCGACATTCATTGTAAAGACACGAGCGTGCGTCGTGAGCACGCCTTTTATACACCAGGCGTTGGGGTGACGCAAGTGCGACGCATTTCCGGTGTGCTTTCGACTTTGTTCGTGAGGGCGCAAAGGGCGCAAAGGGCACTCAACTAGCAAAGGGCACTTGCTCCTTCATTGCTTGCGACGTGCGTCTTGCACAACGCGCGTCTCTCTTGCTAACTCCGTGCGAAGGGAGCAAGTTACGCTTGCGGCCTCGCTGTTCGCATGCTATTCGTAGAATCTTTTGGACATGTCCAACATCCTCCGTAGGTGCTTACGGGCTGTCCGCGAACTCGAAATTGCGTAAGAAGGCCTTGCGTGGGACGTGAGATTCTGCACAAAATTTGGACGCAAACAGCCCGTAAGAGCCCGTGCGGCCG